GTTATTTTGTTATCTGTTATGTGTTGTAGGTCTATTGGGTCTGTTGGAGTGTGCTGCACACTTCCTGCTATTGTATCATATAGTTATTTACTTATATTCTACAGTTTTTTCGATTTTTACTTTTTTGTTTACTTAATTTTAGTGATGTACGAGAAAGAGTTCTATACCAGGATAAAAGTTTTTAAGAAAAGGTTTTAAAAAGTTTACTGTTTAAGTTGTTAGTTGGTTAAATAGAAAAAGACCATTTGATATTAGAACAGGGAAATGCTTGAACCAGTCAAGAAGTTGGTTTTGATTTTTATTAAGAGATTCATTATTAGAAGACTGATAGGTAGTAGGTTGATGATAAGAAAATCAGCATTAAGATGTGTTTGTTTGAGATATATTAAATAAATTTAGTAAGTAAGTATTCTGGATGTTTTGTTAGTTTAGTTAGTGAATATTGAAGTTTAAGGTTTAAGAATTTTAAAATATGTGTAAAATTGTTCAAGAAACAAGTTTGTTTAAGACACCAAAGAAGGTTTTCTAAATTAATTTTCAAGTTATAGTATAATTTTTGTTATATAAATTTAAGAGTTAATTTAAATCATATAAGACTTTTTGTTGATTTTCTCTGCGAGTTTGAAAGATACAGATCTCATATTTTAAAGCAATATGTATTTTGATATCAGGAACAAATTCAATTAAGAAGTCAGTAAGATTTGCTTAGTAAAATTTTGAGATATCATCAAATTCATTAGACAATTTATAGATATTGAGAAGAAAATTTGTAACTTTTTGTTAATTTTCTTGGTGAGTTTAAATGGTATATGTCTAATATTTTGATATTATAGTCCGGGATATTTCTATGTATATTATTTCCAAATAAAGTAATGATCTACATGGTACAGCGATGTAGAATTTATCAGTAAGCCTAAATTTGATTGGATAAGAAAAAATATATATAGAAAGAATTTCAAAAATGTCGTACTTCTTTAATGCAATATATTTGATTTTTTTTTAGTAAAAATATGAAATCATTATATGAGTTTAATACATAATTTTTTAAAATAACAAATTTAAAATACACCTATTTCACATTTTGGTCCTGAATAAGGTATATTCTAAGTATACTATTACTTATTAAAAAATGTCTGGCTGATACAATCTTATAAATATTCAAGTAAGAATATACTGCTATGTGGGTATCATTAAAAGGCATTTCAACTGAGTAACATGTGTTAAATCTTGATTTAGAACATTTTCGCATTTGTAACTAATACTTAAGTTTATGATTTCAGATCCGTTAGACTAATCCAAATATTCTGAAAAATTATATAAAAGAATCTATAATGGTATATTATTCAGGCAAGATATATTAAACTGGTTATATTAGACAGGTATATAAAGTATTGTCTTTGAAATGTTGTTTAATAATTACAGACTTATCATAAAAATTTACTACGTTAGGTCCTTATGACCTTGGATACTATTATCAACGTAGGATAGGAATCAAAAAGGATAAACATAAGGCATTCATTAATTATCATAAATTTGCAGAGATGGGGAATGCTAATAGAGCAAACAAAGTTGGATATTATTATTAACAAAGAATTGGAGTTGAAAAAGATGAACAAAAGGCATTCATTTATTATCAAAATCTGTATGAAGAAGAGCATTTGATCGATATTTAAAACTGAATCTCTTGTAGTATAGGTGGCATCTATTCTAAATCAATTGATTAATAATACATTTTATTAGCAGTGTCACCTATATTGCAAAAGATTTTTAAAACCTTCAAAGGCCAAAGCTCCATTGTACAAAATAATTTTTGATGCAATTAAATCATTTGGAATTGCCAAAAATGAATAATATCTGATTTTAAATCTAATAAAGATGAAAAAAAATTGTTGTTTGTTAGCTTTGATTATTATAACAATAAAAGTAACTAAATTTTTTATTCATTTTATAAATTCATTTGATTTTCTAGTTCTACTTCATCTTCAAGTCCATCTTGCTTATTATAAAGGTCTCTAATACTTTGTAAAATATTTTGTAATTGGCTACAATTTTTTTGCTTTAACTTATGATACTTTGAACTATTAGGAATATTAACTGAACTTAGCAATAAATTGATAATCACTAGAAGCTCTTCTTTCAACATATTTGCTTCATCCATGGCAGCTGCTTCTTCTTGAGCAGTAACAGGTATTGGCCAGAGTAAGTGATTTGACTTGCTTTTTTGAAAGTCTCATCAATAAACCTTATTCGTCTTTCACATGCTAAATCACTAAAATTTTTTAGCTGTTCGCTAAGTAGGAACTCCTCTCCAAGGCTTTAAATATGCGATCATTGCTTTGTGGATTCAAAAACCCAAATTTTTATAATTGAATTTGAAATCATTGTGACTTTAGGGTGTAATCTGGACACGACCGACCTCCTGATGATTCATTGTCAGTATGCCCAATCATATTAAATAATATATAATGCAGCTTGTTATAAATTAAAAAAAATTTGCATTGTAAGTATAAACTTTTTATTTAAATATATAATTTTTAAATATATTTCATTAACCTTTATAAACTTTATACAATTCTATGCTGCTATTCTTCAATATTTTTGTGAAGATACGGGTGGAATCAAGGCCTTCAAAGATTTATTAACTTCTTCAAGAATAGTATCAAGGCTTTGATGTTGGTTACAATGACCTGATCATGAAATAACCGAGAATGATTCTATGCATTTTTTAATTTCAGGATTTAACCGCATCAATTGCTCTTCATAAGTTATCTTAATTAAGTGGTATATAGGATGCCTATGACCAGACCATATCAGAGCAAACATATGTTGAGCAGTACTAATCAACAATGGCCGATTATTTCTAACTCTTGTACGAAAATTAATAATCGCCTAGAGGTAGATAAATGTCTGTAATAATCATTAGCTAAAATTTTTAAACAATATTTGATTTATTTATTTTTTTTTTTATTTAATCTTATCTGTTCAAATTTTAGCTTATATTTATGATCATTTTGTTTCTTTGCCCAATCCAAATAGCCATCTGCTGTAGGATTTTTAGTTGCGACTACGTATGGCCATAATAATTCACATGTAATCACATATTAATAAATGTTGCAGATAGGATCCCACGATTTATGATGGTTGATGCATTTTTTGAAATACCCAAGCTAATTTTCAGTTCTGTATTCTTGAAGAATAGCGAATTGCTTGATATTGATTATCCTAAAAGAATATATTAGTATAAATTAGAGTTATTTGTAATAACAAAAAGAAATATCTAAAAAAACAATAATACCAATTTAGTTCTACAAATGCCTTAAGCATATTTATTTCTTTATGCAGGGCACCAGGAATTAGTATAAGCCACAGGAAGTCTTTTTTAATTTTTTGAACTAGATTGTAAGGAACACCATCGCAAGTAACCAGTAGCCATTTTCGTGCTCCTTGGTTTATTCCCGTAATACTCTGTATATACTCTAAAACCTTTTTTATATTATTTATTGAATTAGGATTACATTCTAATAGATCCGGCACATACATTTCTGGAACTATAATATTATTATCGGGTTCTGAGCATTGGGTAATACTAATATGTTCGAAATGAGAGCTGTTTTGTTAGTAAGTATATGAATAGGACTTAATTATAAGAGATTTTGACTGGAGAACTATATTATTAAGTTGTGTAAGTTCCTTAGCAGATTCCGCTTGTAAAGTAGCTAATGTATCTAATTTTTTATGACATTTAGGCCACGTATATTTTTTATTATCAATGTTGGTTGTATTGCATTCTTTGCACCATTTCGATTGACTCTCAACACCTTTTTGATTTTCTATACTTTGATCAATAGCATTTATTTCTTGATTTTTTTCAGCTATAAGATCTTTTAAAATCGAAGATAAGTATATTTTTAGCTCTAATTCATATTCTTTTTTTATTTCTGGTGTAAGATAATATAACTCTTTATATTCTTTATTAGTTAACGGATCATTATGCCAAGGTTTACTTACAAATTGAGTTAAGTCATTTTTATTCATGTTTAATGCAACAAAACTTGTAACTACATAATAAATAACCATATTATATCTGCGATCAAGGTAATTATGTTGACCTCGTTGTTCATTATCAAAAGCAAGAATAAAAGCCCCTTAGGTAAAGGTTCATTTTCAATTGCTAATGATTCTAACTAGCCAACAAATTTAGTATAACTTCTAAAACTAACTACATGATTATCAATATCAACAATTGTTTTAGATCGCGATAGTGAATATTTGATCTCTGAAATAGCTAAATTTATTTTCGATATATAACTTTTATATTGTGATTTATATATTGCATCTAGTGCAACTATTTTTTTAAAGGCATTTTCATTTAAAGTATGGTCACTATGGTTATTATTGTCATTATGAGTAAGAGTATTAATAAAATTAACAACAACTAGATTACGATTAGCTAACCAGTTGTTAGGTGTGAAATCTAATAAACTATTAAGTGAAAACCGTTCTTTATTAAAAATTAATGATTCGATATCATTATAAACATTTTGACGTTCTTCATTTTCAATTTGAATTACGGATTCAATTATTTTTCTTTGACTATCATAATGGGTTTGCCATTTATACTTCAATGAGTTCTTTATTTACTTTATTTATTTTTTGAACATGCCCCCAACTTTCTATTACATAGTCATATGCATATTCTAATTGGTTTTTAAGGTCTTCTCCTCAATTACTTTTGAATTTAGCTGTGATTGGAGCAAATAAACACAGGTTTCAAGAGTATGCAACATAATGTCAGCTACCTGTATACCAATCTCATGGGTTTCCGGATTAGCTTGAATACTAACTTTGTTAGTCTGTTCATCAGTTTGAACAACATTTGTTTTATGAACATATCGTGTATGAGCTTGTTTTTCAATAATTTCATTGTCAATATCACTACTATTTATTTGCTGCTTTTGTTTATTGCGATTATTTTTAGAAATATTTGAATTTATAAGTATTTGATGTAAAAAACCAGATGCAACAAGTTGGTTATAATGCTTTTCGCATAAAGAGAAATCTTGTAAATGCGTTTGAATTTGAATTAATTCAGAGAAAAAATCATTATACAATTGAAGGCAACTTTTTGGTTTATTACTATCTGCATATCAAATTGTTTGTGAATTTTTAGTTTTATATTCTAATAAACTCAAATTTTTATATAAAGGAACTAAAGTAGCAAGAGCGCAAGGCAAATTCTTTGCATTTGGTCATTTGTTAGCTTGGTTGGCTTGTTTGTCTTGGTTAGCTTGGCTGGCTTCCACTAATAAAAGAGAAAAAAAATTATAAGCTTATTAATAGTAATTTTTGATAGTATAAAGAAAATTTAACAACCCTAGTTTCATCTACAAAAAAATATAGCCAGCATAAAACTTAAAATCAGAATCAATCATGAAGCTTTGTTAGTGCTGACAAATTAATATTGCCATGCACAATTCATTGTTATTGGAGTATTAGTTTCAGAGCTCTAATTATGATGTAGGTTATATTTTTTTGTGGCGATACCAGTTCTATTAAATAAATTTATTACACACTTATAGGATAGCAAAAAAAAATGAATTTCTGTAGTATTTTAAAGTTAACAAAGAATCACGTAATAACTAGCGGCTTATGATAGCAGAATAGTTATAATAGTAAAGAAGTATTGGACAAGCATTGACACAGTAAAGATCATGGTGCTTACTTGTTTTACAATGAATTTTCAACAGCTAAAAGAAAAAAAAAAGTAAAGTTTAATATGTTTTATATTTTTTAATAACCCAAGAAAACCTGTGTTTTGCTATACTTATAAATGTTAAAGGTGAGTTGATTTTGAAAAAATTTTGACTGATTATGAAACTACTTGCTTGGAACTTCCTAGTTTCATAAAGATCTGTCATATTACAAAGACAGTTTGTGTAAACTTATCATGTAAAATTTGTAAAAACGTTTAAAAATTTAATAAAAAATTAGATGATTAAATTTCTAGATCATATGTTGTGTAATGAATTTTGTTCTAGAATGATCTACTATATGATATACCAAATTTGGAAATACACCTGACTGTATTATGTGTGTTTTTGTCTCAGAAATAAATTTCAATTAAGGGTCTAGTAAGGTAGGGTTGGGAGCATAGCAAATTTTTGGGGCATGCCCTGGGAGTATACTTTTGCAAAGAGCATGTCTCTCTATGTCCAGGGCATTCCCTCTATAGATATATATATCATATATTATTGTAATTAGTAATAGTAGGCTTTAATTCTAATTGGCCAATTTGATAATTGACCAATTATATAATAGCCTTATATCATATGATAGGGGTATGCCTTTTGGTCAAAGGGCATGCTCTAGATATACACTTCAGAGCATGCCTCTTAACCCCATGTCTTCAACTCTATAGTGAGGTTTACTTAGTAAGATTTTGAAATATAGTTGATTTTTGTTAAGTAATATATAAATCAGTAAAATTTCAAATAACTAGTAAGTTTTCCAGAGATGTCCAGTAAGTTTTTCAAATTTAGTAAGTAAAATTTTGAGATTTGTTAGGTTTTTAGAAATTTTAATGGGTGGAAAAAAGTGAATTTTCTGGGGCAAGCCAGTAAATTTTCAGAAAAATTGCCAATGAATTTTTAGAACAAGAGAATGTTTTTTAACAAGTGAGTTTAATGTCTTTTTGATGTAAAATTGTCAATTTTAATCTGTTTGTAATGAATTATATATCAAAATGTTCGTCTTGATAAGTAGAACAAATTTGTCTTAAGTAAGAACTAAGTTTGCTTAATAAAATTTTGAGTAAATAGTAAAAGAATAGTTAAAGAGATTTTGGTTATAGTTGAGTGAGTTTTAGTTTATTTGTAGTATATTTTATATCAAAATATTTGTATGAAGGAGCTGAGTAAGTTT